CAGTTAAATGTATAGAACTGTGTTCTATACATTTAACTGTATAGAACACAGTTAAATGTACTTAGAACATTTAACTGTGTTCTAAGTACAGCGTTTAACCTACTTTGGTATTATTTAATTAATCGTTGCTTTATTTGCGTTTGTTAGTTTGGCTTGTTGGAATCCTAAATACTCGTAGAACTCGCCCTCTTCCAAGGATTCAATAACACCTCCATTTCCAAGTGCAAAGTCTTCTTTCTTTACGACTCCTTTTTCTATATGAAGTGTTTTGTATTTATCTAGGCCAAACTTCATTTGTATGTCCTAGGAGTATGAATGTGTGATTTGTAGGAGTTGATGAAGTTGTTTTTGTGTGGATGCACAAAGTTTTATGCCATCCATGTACTATACATCTGTTGTTTTTTTTATATCTGATATCGTAACCATGTTGCATTTTGTTTAACGTGTTAGATAATTGGTTCAGGGCTAAGCAAAACCAGAAAGGATCCAAGAACCTTAAAAAATTTCTCATCTAATGAATATTTGGTTTGCTTATAGGAAAGTGTTATAAATCCTGAGATGTAGTGTTGTTTTCCAATGCTGCATAGTGTATTGGAAAAATTCTATGAGTGATAAATGTATTTTGTAAATGTGTAGAATAATATGTAGCAGCTAACTGTATGGAACACTGTCGAATGCTTTTCTGTAGTCTATGTATGACGCGTATGTTTCTGTGTTGTTTGTGTGCTTGCCGTAGAATGACTGAATCTATGAGTAACTGTTCTTTGCGTCTCCTGTGATTTCTACGGCAACCTTTTTATTGTTCCGTAAGAATGTTGTGTTCTTTAACATATTCGTATATTTTATTTTCAATACAGGATGTCAATAATTTGTAGAATGTTGGAAGACATGCAATTGGTCTGTGGTATTGTTGTTTTTAGGTTTTATGTAGGTAATGTCCTAAGTAAGAAATTTTGGCATGTCTTGTGAATTGATGATGTGTGTTAGGTGTTTAGCTAGTTCCTGGTGCAGTGATGTAAACTTTTTGTACCAGAAATTGTGAATGTTGTCTACACCAGGTGTCTTCCAGTTGTGTGTTCTGTTACCAGCCAGGGCTATGGAGTCAGGTAAAAATCTACCGACTCAGACTTTTCCTTACCGTCCGACTCCGACTCCGACTCCGACCAGGGGCGGATTTGTTACCAAAAGAGACTCGGAAATTCTGATGCCATCATGTGACCTCAGAATAAAAGATTCAATAAATACAGTTCTAATAAAGATAGAGCGTAGAAATTTTTTATTCCAAAGCTAAAAGACTTCTCTAAGTAATATATAAATGTTTATTCGATAATTTTTACTTTTCCGGCTGTTATATATAACAGAGGAAAAGTGTAGCGCTCGGTCAAAAAATGACCCCTCCCAAATTTTTACATTTTTGGACTCAGGACACCGTAAAATTTCGAGATATGCAAAAGATTCGAGGTTTTTTTCTATGTGTGGATGTTAGACTGTGTGGGGGGCAGTGAGTGTCAGCCGCCCGGGGTGGAGGAAAATTTCGTCGCCCCCTTATTTAGGTATCTCAATTTAAAAGATTAAAATTCAGTTTCGTCACAGAATAAGTAATGGAAAATTCCGTGCTAGTGTTGCCACCTTTTTAAAATCGATGACCCGGACGGCGGGTGAGGTTTGTTCGAATAGAAGTTCCTGACGCATGCGCATGTCATTTTGCAATGCGAAGAATAATGTGATGTGCATGCCGGTTCTAAATCAGTTACAGTTAGCGATTAGGGAGACTTGGATAGGAGTAACGCGAGTGACCTAGCTCTATTGGATATTGGAGGTGTATGTGATTACGAATGAATCGTACAAGCAAAAAAATAAAGAAAAAAAAAGGTCGACAGGTTGCGCATGATATCCCCAGACGGCGAGTCGGATGGTAACACTATTCCGTGCTCATTTCAATCGGTCCGAATCGTAGGTGGACGAAAATATGAAATAAAATGGTTCAAATTCTTACAAGTTATTATTATTATTTATTGTGAAATTTTGCCGCTCTCTAAAAAGTGCCGCCCGGGGCGGACCGTCCCTGCCGCCCCCCTTCGCTACAATACTGGTGGGGGCATGATTTTGTTTATTCTGTTTGAAGCCTAATAATTTTTGTGGTCAGAATGGTCAGAGTCGGAGTCAGATGGTTTAAGACAGGAATTAGTTATTAAGCGTTAAAGTGTTTGAACTAAATCGTGTTCCCATATACATTCTAACATCTTAGGCGAGAACATCTTAACGGGTTTTACTGTACTATTATAAAATGGCTAAAAAGCTTACTTTGAGGGTAGAGACGAGTTTTATTTTATTTTTTTTAAATTTTGAACGCTAATAACGAGTAAAATATTCATTAAGAAATATGACACATGACCACTTTTATCTCTTCACCCTGTCGACCTTTAATTAAGAACCAAAATTTAATAGTATTAATGCCCTTTTATATGCAAGCTACAGTGCCACATTTCGTTTCTGAAACTTTACCCATTCTGAGATATTAAACAATATCTCAGAATGAAATTAAACAAATTAGACGCCAACACACACGCGCGCGCGTATTTTTCTCCTTTATTGACTTTTTTGAGGGGTTCAAGAGGTCTCCAAACGTGTAGATTTGCAAAACAAAATTTGGAGGGTCAAATTTGACACGATTCCAATACTTTTCCGTTTTATATACATAACAAGTTGGTAAGTAAAAAGGAGTCGGAGTCGGCGGATTTTTTGACGACTCCGACTCCGACTAAAACACCAAAACTCCACAACTCCGACTCCGACTCCGACTCCACAGCCCTGTTACCAGCATAACGGATGTCGTGTACGTTTATTTCACACAGGGCATAGTTGGTATGTTGTGCAGTTTTTGTTCTCCTCCTCGATCCAGCCTGCATCAGCATTGTGTGTAACAGCACTGAACCAAAGAGGAGACCAATAGATTGTGAGTTCTTCTGTTGGTGTGCCACTATGCTGTGTATCAGCGTTTGTTTTGGTACTAATTTGTCTGTAAAAGAGTTAGTTTTTTGTTCACAAATTTATTATTATTATTATTATTCACCGGATTAACTTGAGAGACTTTTTCAAAGCTTAGTCTGTCATTGTATTTATTACCGTGATGATTAAAATTGTCATAATGTGCAATAACTACAATGATGCTGTCACGCTGTCAATAGATTACAGAAATAAAGTATTGATAACATTTATATTCGTATAAATGATGAAAGTTAAGATATTCTTTAATCGACTAAACGTCATTTAAATAAGAACAATTGAGAAGCTTTATACAGTATTTCCAATTTTATAAATACAGTACATTAGAATATGAATGCATAATTGATAAAAGGAAACAAATTTAAATATAAAAACAATAATAATTAAAGAATTTATAATAATGCAATTTTAAATATTTTGAAATTCTTGCTAAAATATTGTAATTTAAAAATAAAATTAAGACAATTTATGCTTTAATTTATTTAATTTTAGTTTATTTTTCCTCAGGAAATGCGATTAACATAAAATTTATTTTAAATATCTTTTCAGTAAGTAGCCTAAATGAAAATAGTTTTTCATTAGAAATATTAAAATTTTAAATTTATACAATTTTTTGAAAGATTTTATAAATGCATTATTCAGAAATACTGAGTAAAGCGTGAGCATAAAATTTAATTATATTATATTGATATATTTCAGGCGAAAAGGAATAATCAACATTACAGTTTGGAGGCGAGTACGAATTACTATATAAATGTTAATTTTATATAAAAATATATAAATAATTTAATGAACACAGTACATAGCATTCATTTTTTACAGCGGTGCTAGTAATATTAAAACGGTCGATTAGATCCAGGATCTTCAAACTTTATTGACTATTACTCTTTCAGGGACTCCTCGACCTTTTATCGACCCTCTTTTCTTTTTGCTGATTAAGTTAATAACAATAATAATACTGTCTCATCAGATTTTATTTATTATTAATTCACACACCTGTACCTGACTTTTTGAACACCTGTACAAGGAAATCACAAGTCTCTTTGCATTGGTTTTTTAACTCATTTCGCCCAGTGGGCACTAAAAGGGTCTCTTTTAGCAAACTCATTAAGGATTCGGCCAAGCCAACAATGGAGCGGCCGAGTGGTAAGAGACGGGACCCAACGTATCCGGACGAACCACCCCCGAAAATTTTATGGGGATTTTTCGACTCATTCGGATTCGAATCCGGGTCCCCCAAAGGCTGCTACCTTGACCGCTCGGCCATCCGGCCTTTATTGTATTTGGTATTGCAGGTTTCAAAATATTGCAAGAAATAGTCATAAGTCTATTATAATGATATAAAATGTCGTATTTAACTGTTATATTTTCTCTTCTTGCCACTATAGTATTATATAATTGAATTGTATTGTTAAGAACTTAATCACAATTTATGACACTGAACTTATAGAAAATATGGCGCTTGCTTTATGACGGATTCAGAAATCAGTTAGATCCTTAAAAGAGATATCTGTTTATAAAAATTGCCGAAATTTATGTTTTATTAAACGCTTAACAAACATCTTGAAATTTAGAAAGTCAATTTTAGATTCAATTTATTAATAAAAATGTATAAAACAAGTCTAAAGTATGAATTTTTACTGATTTGACTAATAGATGGCACTGATTAAATATACGTTTTGTAACCTATTAAAAAATTATTTTTATTTATAATTATTAATGTCATAACTTTACGAAGAATAAAAATTAATATATAATTAAATCTAATTTAAACTTGTAAATTAAAGAAATAGAAATTAAACGTTTTTTTATATTAAGTAAGATGGAGTAATTTCAGTCACGACAGATAAAGAAAAAAAATTATCATTTAAAATTTTTTTTCTTTCATACGAACTAACCAATGATTGTCCTCATTACAAATCAAGCCAATAGAAATTTTTTTAGTCTTTTTGTTAACTAAATGGCGCTAAAAAGTAGCAGAGAATAAATTTCAAAATGGCAAATACGTTCTTGCCAATGATTAACACTAGAGGGCAGTATGTCGCCACGCGGCAGATCCTGATACACGAAGTCGAGATGAGTCGTCAGTCTCACGAGTGAACATCTTTTAAAAAGTTTGTTTACCTTAATTTTTTTTGATTATTTTTAATGTGATATTTATAAATGACACTTGTAATTACAGCAATGAAGGCATTGATATTAGTTGGTGGTTATGGCACAAGACTTAGGCCACTTACTCTTAGCAGGCCAAAGCCTTTGGTGGAATTCTGTAACAAACCTATGATGATGCATCAGATAGAAGCATTGGTGGAGGTAAACATTTACTTAATATTTCATCAGTTATTATGGTTAGTATGCAGTGATGGATTAGGTCCCTCTGGAGTCTGGGGCTCTAGATATTGAAGGCTCCTACACATAACTTTATGACTTCATAAAGTAATAGCATATAGTTACAGATGTAAAATTATTTATAAATTATGATGTACAATTGCAACAGTAAAATTTGCTTTATTTTTTCCAATTTTTTGGCTTTGATTCAGTTATGATAAAACAACACGTGGGCGTTCTGCAAGGGGGAAATGCCTTCTGGGAGGTCTTTTATAGGAAACTGGCACCTATTTAGATAATACTAATGTCGAGAAAATCTGGAAAACTCCATGTGGCTAGCCCGTTCGGCAAAGTGTGAACTCATGACCCTCTGCCAGTATTCAGTGGTTTTATCCACTCTGCCACTGGTAGGCCCCTTTAGAACTGGGACACGTAAGCCACAGACCTTATGTGCATAAGAAGCTGCCCATAAATTACATTCACAATTTTTTTGAAATTTTTACTTTCCTTCTCCTCTTGTCCCAGTTTGTCCAAGTTTTTGTAACTCCCCTTTCCTCTTCAGATGTCCAACAAAACTCAACCCTTCTTAAAACCTTTATCCCTTTATGAATGATAGATACAATAAGTACAAATGAAACATACAAAATAATTTTGAAATAAATACAGTATAATAAAATGCATAAACTGTATAATTTAATGAAATAAACAGACATTTGCTGAAGTTTAACCCCTCCCTCTTGTCCGACTTTGTCTGATTTGTTGTAACCTCCTCCATACCTTCCAGTGTGGACATCATTTATGGACAGCCCTTAATGGGCAATTTGGAATTTTTAATGTGGCTATATAAATAAATGATTTATTTTGCACAAAACAAACCATTTGCACACAAGTTTATATCAGGATAATACATATGTAAAGTGCAATTATAGGTATAAAACAGAATTAATTATAGGAATTAAAACAACTTTATTTAAGCATGGAAACATTTTCAAATATTTTTTTCAATTTTATTCATTTTTAATTGTATAAAAATATATTCAAATAACCATTATTTATTTTATTTTTTACATTTATGAGAGTTTTTTTTTGTATTTTTAAAAATATATTTTTATATATATTTGACTACTGTGTTATATATGATAATTTAAAAGAAAAAAATTACATATTAAAATTGCTTGTTTTAACACTCAAATAGGTGCCAGTTTATCATAGAAAGTCCTTCCAGCAACAAACTCTCTTGACAGTTGCATTTCCTTCTCTTGTCACTTTCTCCACTTCCATTTAAATTAGAAAATATTATTATTTTTATAGCAACAGCTTGTTTTGAATAAGGAAATCTAAAAACATATTTCAAGAAATACATAAAAATTAATGAGCAATTATTTATTGTGACATTGTCACAATGCTGGGCTGCAATTTTTAATCATATTTTTAATTAATTTAATTTAAAATATATGCTCTCCTCCTCAAATTAGTAACATCTTGCCCCTGTACTTTCCTTTAACACAATAGTCATGCCAGTCATCTATTAATTGTTTTCAGGGAAAGTTTTGAATTGAAATAACACATCTTCCGGTTTGCATCGGAAGTTCATGTATAGTTAATTGGTGCTTCCTGTTCCTAATGTTTTCATATCTGGCCTCTGATTTTANTCATTTGCATTGAATGCCAAAGTACAATGTCAGCTATTGAATCAGAGTGACAAAAATGCTTAAAAAACAATTTAGATTTTGACTATTGGTTTAATAATAAGATTTAATGTAATGAGTTTTGATAAATGTTGTTTTTTATTTTTGTGGATTTATGTACTAATATAATATGTATATATACCTGAATATAATCATATGTATAATGACACATGCCTTTACCAAATAAATGAGTAAATCTTTATGAATTTTTATTTACATGGTTTATGGACCCAAAAAAATATCAGGGTGGACAAACGCCCCACTGCACTAATGCCGAAAAAAAACTCAGTGCACTAACGCAGGGTTAACAATAGTCATGCCAGTCATCTATTAATTGTTTTCAGGGAAAGTTTTGAATTGAAATAACACATCTTCCGGTTTGCATCGGAAGTTCATGTATAGTTAATTGGTGCTTCCTGTTCCTAATGTTTTCATATCTGGCCTCTGATTTTATCTATTTAACTTTGTACTTGAGATTAAAGAAAGACAGTGGGAATTTATAGGTCTACAATTTCTTCAAATTGTAGCCCAGTAAACAATTTATATGGCTTCTATACAAATATTTATTGAATATTGATCCTAAAAGCATTCCACACAATTAATACTTACTCCAGCATATGAAATTTAATGGAAGCACAAACATTTTCAGCCACTTCAACACTGCTGAAGTAAGTATGAATAGTGTGTACTAGTGAATAGTGTTTTTAATCTACTGGTTCAGCTTTTGAGTGTTTAAATATTGATCCTATTGTATTTTTTAAATTTAAAACCTATGAGCTTAAAAGTATCATTGTTGTGTTATATTTCTGTTTGATAACTCATCTTTCACATTTTATTTATTTTTAATTACAAATAAACAGGCTGTCATAACCAACAATGGTTATAATATGCTCTTCAAATAACAAATGTCATGACACAGTAACAAAAATGAACATCCACATTTGAAACAATATTAAGATCTACATTTTGGGAAATTAGAAACAGTGCCTTAGGTATAGTCAGTCAGTGATAAATGAATGATTTAATGTATTATTCTATTGTGATGAAGCATTGATTTTCTTCTTTATATACAGCTGTGAGACCCACCATTTTCTCTAAATTTTGTTTGTTTATATATATATATATATATATATATGATAGAGATTTATTATTATTTTGTATAACTTTAATTTTTAATCAACATATTTTAAACTGATAATGTATTCTCTTTAAATGATAAATTGGAAATTTTATTATATTTGAAATTATAAATGTATTTTATATATTTTTTGTTTTGTTTGTTTGTTTATCAAACAATTGTAAAAATTAGCTACTGGACAAGATGTTCTTTGTACCCATACAGCTACAATATGTAAATGTGACACTGTAGTTGTTTACCGTATCAAATAGAGTAACAGAATTAAATCTATTTTCCCCCATTTTAGGGATCCTCCCTTCTAAATTTTTAGTAATATAGATTAAAAATCATTGAGAGAAACAAATTAGAATAAAAAAAATTATCAGTTGTCATTAACCTCACAACATTCAGTGCAAAAGATAAAAGGCATGACTGTTGTTTCCCTTTTCTGCTTGTGTCAATTGAGTTTTATTTTAACAGTACCTAAATATGCTAAGTTTTAATTATAGTCTTAGTTTTATCCAAATATAGGTGTAATGTCATGCTTTATTTTTGAAATAAATTTTCCCTTCTTATTTCTATGTTGGTATAGTTGATTTTACAGTTGTCCTCCTGAGAGGCTTATTCCTGGACTTTGGAATGGCTCTTACCTTCATGCCTTGCATATTTCAATCTTACCTAGAATTCAAATTGGAGGTGTGTATAATAATACACACCTGATGGCAGAACCTCTACTTAAAAGGGTTCTCTCTTGATTTTGATCGCCCTCCAAACTCCACACTGGATATTAGGTAAAGTTGCAGCTCTAAATGAGGTAATGGTAGAGCTGTAGACCATGCCCATAGGAGGAAAAAAGTCAAAAGGAACCAATGATCCTTTGTGAGATATAACTTGCCAAACTTAGCTTGTTAACACACAATAGGCTTAATGGAGCATTAAGTATTTTACATGCCATTTTATTTGACATAATGATGTATAATTATTTTATTTTTATTTTTTTTGTTAAATAATTCCCCATTTAAAAAAAAAACATATTTTTTATGCATTACAGGCAGGGGTTACCCATGTAATTTTAGCAGTTAGTTATAGGGCTGAATTACTAGAGAAAGAAATTAAGAAAGAAGAAGAAAAGGTAAATTATTACTTTGTTTTTATTTAATATATTAATAATACAAAACTTTATATATGTATTTTTTATATTAAATGCAGTTAGGAATTGAAATTACGATATCACTTGAAACGGAGCCTCTTGGAACTGCGGGTCCTCTTGCTCTTGCCAGGACATTATTAACAACTGATGACGAACCATTTTTTGTTTTGAACAGTGACATTATATGTGACTTCCCATTTAAAGAAATGGTGAGGTTTCACAAAAATCATGGAAAGGAAGGAACACTAGTAGTAAGTTATTAATATACATTATTGGAAAAGCAATTAATACTTTTAAAATTTTTAATGTGTGTCATAAAATTAATAAATTTANCTGCTTTAGTTCATTTTCACAGAAAAGCCATAATGCCTCACAGAAAAGCAAGCTTAGGTCGTCATACTTGTAGCACCATCTGTTAGACATAAAAGCCTTAACTCTAGATATATTTTTTAATTTATATGAATGTTTAATGGAATAATATACAGCCTATGTCCACCCTGAAGTTCCATTTCTAAATATTGGTGAAAGAATTTTTGAAATTGGATGAATAGTTTTCTACTATTCATCCAATTTCAAACTATTCATCCAATCTCTACATCCAAACTTACAAACTTTATCTCTTTATAATATTAGTATAGATTTTGTAATATTTTTTTATACTTCTATGAACAGATTGAGGTAAATATTGCTGTCCAAGTAGGCCTTACTATAAAAAACATAAATAATGGCTTATCTACTTTAATATTTGTATTTTGCATTATCTATTTTGTTTACAGTTAAAAAAAATAGTTGGAAAGCGAGTTTTTCAATGCTACATTGAATACTTTGAAAACTGAAAATTTACTTTGAATAACATTGTTTTTTTTTTTACAAAAATTAAACAGAGTTGTTTTATCTATTTATATATATTTACTTATATGTTTTGTATGCTATTTTTTATTATAGTTTTTTGTATGTTACTTTATTATTGCTATTTAATTTCACATTTCCTTGTACAGTGGTGCCTCGTATAACGTACTTAATCCGTTCCAGGTGCACGTCCGTTAAGTGAAAAGTCTGTTATACGAAACCCATTTTCCCATAGAAATACATGTTAAAACATATAATTCGTTCCGCAGCATAAAATAACCATACTGTACCGTAAAAAAATGAAAATGGAGCAGTCGCTAATTATGCCGGGTAGTCAGATGTTGTAAGGAGGAGGTGGAGGAACACTTTTTTCACACATTCATACAGATACAGACTTTTTACACATTGCAGCAGGTCTCTTTTTATTGTTTTTTAATTGGAGTCAGTTTCAGGAGAGGCTATCGGAGCTTGCAGGGCTCCTCTTGTTCCGTCTTTTGTTTTTTGGCAGCTGGCTTGAAAAACATGTCCAAGGTGGTCTGTTTCTCTCTCTTCTTCAACACCTGTCGGAAATGATGGGCAAGGGTCATTGTAGAGATCATTGATCCTGTTGGCCTCAGCTGTGTTTGGATAATGAGTGTTGGTAAACTCCTGAACCTCTCCCCATTTGACAAGGAAGTTTTTGTCAACTTTCACTCCTTCTGGTGATTTCTTGCTTTGTTTCAATTGAAATCACCTTTCTGTGTTTTTAGAAGCCATGATTTGCACAACACTTGAATAAATGTAAATACCCTGCACTGAGGTGATGTACTTAATAAACAAGGGAGCAAGCCAAATCCCAACGGGAGCTCTGTACTTCAGATATATTAATAATATAGACTATTCTAATAATACTAATATATTCTAAAAATAGTAGATTGTCATTGGCAATGGCAAAAGAGTGGAAACATCATTCGCACTTGTTCGCAGAAAGTCTGTTGTTTGCCTCACGTAACTGCCGAACGGAAAATCTGTTGTTCGCAGCATTCGTTATTCAAGGCATATGTTATACGAGGCACCACTGTATCTGTTTTAATTGGGGGATATTGTTTTTGGGAGGCATTATTTGTCATTAAGATATGGTCATTTTTATAAAGAATAATATCATTCATAAGAATTGCTCAAAACATTCTTTGTGGATATAGATGTATAATTGCATACAATGAACCAGCAACTCCACACTGTTAACATATATTCAGAAAAATAATTTTCTACACTTAAAGTTAAAATGCTTGTACGTATTGGTAACACAGAAATGGAAAACAACTAGTGGTATCTTTTTGGCAGGATGTTTAAAGTTAGTTTCCAATCTAAGTTTTTTGGTAGGTCATATCTTGAAAACCTTTTAAAGAAGACTTATTTGTGACACTAGAATGTATGCCTAAAATATTTTCACCAAGTTCAGTTACACTTTGTATGTGTGCATGTGCACGTATCATTGAAACTTGCCTATACAGGTATACCTCGACTTACGTCGTTTCGAGTTACGTCGTTCCCGATTATACGTCGTTTCGAGTTACGTCGTTCCCGATTATACGTCGTTTGTCAAAAAAGTATATGGAAAAATAAAAATCAAATTTAAGTCATTTTATTCGACTTTACATCTGTCCGCTACAAATATTGAAGTCGTAATATCACTAGAAAAATGTTTAAAGCACGTAAAATCATATTAAAATATATACATTTACAAGTATGTACTGTACTTACAGTACATGCATTCGTAAATTTAGATTACTTTTTTTCTGTACTATATTAAAAACTAAAATTTATTTGTTTGTAAGCTTAAAACAGATCCTTATTAACCATACATTATTAAAAATGCATTAATAAATAAAATACAGAACCGGAATTGGCAATTTATGGTTTAGCCTAGTGACAGGTAGATTTGGAGACAAGTAAATTCGACTTACATCGTTTTTCGACTTAAGTCGTTCTCCTGGAACCAATTACCGACATAAGGCGAGGTATACCTGTACTAATAAACAAATAACCAATAGGTATCAATTAACAGGGTAGATAAATAAGATGACAATTAGTGGAAATTTTGGTTTCATTGATCATGACATCAGAAGGACATATATATTAATTAAGTTAAGACTATTTCAGTTTCTAATTTCAGTTAAGACCCACTTCCATTGAAAAAGAAGTATTTCCGTACATGGCACAAGATGGAGAATTATATGCAATGGAATTACAAGGATTTTGGATGGACGTCGGACAACCAAAGGACTTTTTAACAGGAATGTGCTTTTATTTAGCGGCACTAAAGCAGTGGAATTCGGCAGCCTTATATCAAAATGCCGGAGTCGTAGGAAATGTCTTAGTGGTAGGAATTTCGTGGATTACATTTATTTTTTTTTATCTGTTGCTAAGAATATAACTAAAGTTATATTTGTTAGGATCCCAGTGCTAAAATTGGTAAAAGTTGTAGGATAGGTCCAAATGTTACAATCGGTCCAGATGTAATCATTGAAGATGGTGTATGTATCAAGAGATGTACAATATTAAAAGGAGCTCACATTCGTTCTCATTCCTGGTTAGAATCCTGCATTATAGGCTGGAGATGTGTTGTTGGGCAATGGGTGAGTTTTGAATTCAATGTATTTTGTTTTTATTATTTATAATATAATTTATATTTTAAGTTTAATTATATAAAACAAGTTATTTTGTTCATAGATTACAGTATAAACATAAAAATCTAAGTAATTGAAAGGAAACAGATTCTTTGATATGTTTTTAATACATTTTAAAGGGAATAATATAATATAAATTGATTTGGTCACTGCAGCATTGTCAGTGTTCCTCTGGAATATTCTTAATTTTGCAAATTATTTTACCAAATTAAAATTTTATTCACCATTGCATGCAGCCAGTATATATTTGTAATAATTTTTATGTTAACCATTATTAGAATAAATACAGTATTTTATTTGAAGATAAATTTTGAAAAACAGATTTTTTTTTTGACATTATGCAGAAAAATTTAACTATACAGATATATATACAGACAAATATACAGATGTAATATAGTTATTTTGTTTAAAGGTGAGGATGGAAAATACATCTGTTCTTGGTGAAGACGTTATTGTAAAGGACGAAATTTATGTGAATGGAGGAAAGGTGCTACCACACAAGGCAATATCTGAATCCGTAACAGAGCCACAAGTAATTATGTGAACTGTAAATTACCATGATGTTCCCATTTTTCATCCAAACATACTATTATGAATTGTAAGGTGTATGGATTACACTGCCGAATTTTTTGCTAAACACTTTAATTGGATTGCAAAATCAGTCATTAATTTAAAAAACGCAGACTGAAATGTTAAAGCATTCTTATCTTTTATAAATGCATCTTTGTAATTTTTCATTATTGATTGGTTAAGCACTACAATTAAAAACAATGTAAAATTTCTAGTGAATTTTTTCTATTTCTGAGTTATTCAATGACTTTAATATGTAGAAAGTAGTTTATTTTTTTATGATTATTATTTGTTAACTTTTTGTTTTCTGGACTTGCATTTAAATAATGTGCTTTGGGTGAGAAAAACATCTACAGAATTATTCCATAACAACTTACTAATGATTAAATTAATGAATATAAACACAGCAACAGAAGCTTTAGGCATTAAATTCTTAATTAATATTACATTTTGCATTTTGATCTAGAAAGAAATGTTAACATCTAAAACTTCAGCTTTATGTTAAGATCAATGAAAAAATAAGTCATAAAATCATAAATAAAAGTTAATTGTTGTACAGAATATAATTCATAAATCAGATTTTCCTACTTAAAAGATGATGATAGTAAAATTTATAAAATTAATAGGTAAGTACAAAGTAAAATCTTTTTTAATTTCTGTAATTATGTACTATTTGTATGAAAGTTTGAATAAGCTGCTTTGTATAATATAGAAAATATTTTTAATATATTACCTACAACAATTTTCTAAAATAACTAACAAATAATTCAAAAGTTTGTCATACAAAATACAAGAAATTACAGTGAAATGCCATTCTGTTTACAAACAACTGCAATTATAGTTTATTTAATATTAAATTTTCTTATTTACTGTATTTTTGAAATAAGGAAAATGGCATGTAACATATATTCAATATATTCATATGTTATCAGTGTTTTATTCTTTCCCAAAAGATATTTATTTTGTACTAACAATGTGCCATGTCAATCAAAAATTTCATGTTTTAATTTCAATTTTTGAATATTCAGAGGAGAATTAAACATTTTTAAGATTTTAAATTAGTTTGTTTTCTTTATTATTTTTTGTATAATATGAATGCTTTGTAGATAAGAAATTACACCTCATTGCAAAATTTCCAGCAAAGAAATTCAATATTCTAACGTTTTTCGCCACTATTTCATTGGCCCTCGTCAGGAACTGTAGAATGGCTAAACCGTTCTATAAATAGAATGCTGTTGTGTTATAATGTTTAAAAATTTCAAATACATTTGAATAAATGCTGTGACATATTTTATGTGATGTATATTATGAGTTTAGATAGTATTTCCATGCATTTGTTACATGAATGGCAGCTGTGTTGATGCAGGCTCCAATCCTGCACCCTGTAATCTGTACCGCTTCTAATGTTTTGCTGGTTGAAGACCCTGTGTATTAGGGTAGCTTGGTCCCAACTGGGGGAAATCCCCAGATTGCTAGTGTAATGTGCCAGAGCTGTATTAATATTTCCTTTTTGTATGTCATATTTCTTTGCTGGAAATTTTGTATTGAGATGTAATTTCTTATCTCCATATACAGTCCCAGTTTTCTGGTACAGTTGGTGTTTATTGTTCATGAATGCTTTGGTTTATAATTTAGTAAATGTAAAGAAACAGCATATATGGTTTATTTGGTAGACTATAGTTTTGTTCATTAAGAAGGGTCATTGTAGCTGAAAGATCTGAAATGTCTATTGACCCATATAATTTGTCAGTCTACCACTCAGAAATCTTAGAAGAGAAGTTACTCAAAGTGTTCTATATTCATCAATTTTAATGAAAATTTAGTCATAATAAATACTAATAAAAAATTAAAAAATGATTTTTCAAAAAAAAATTAACTGCTAATAAATGTTCATTCATGAGATATGGCTGGCTGTCAGAACACAGTGTTGTGTGTAGCCATTGTTCATCAGTAAAATCCATTGACTTGGTATATAGCTGTGGTAGCAAGACATCAGACAAGAAACCACCTCTTCAAAAAATCATGGCTGATTAATACGTGAATTGAATATCTTGATACCCTCTTCCAAGCAGTTCCTAGCTGGCTTCACTCCCACTGATCTCACTTCTTCAACCAATCTTCCAGTGTAATACTCGTACCAAATTGAGTCATCTGGAGCTTCTGAGCAGTGCCCATATTGCCAATTTATCCATATTCCACAGAGGCCTAAAACCCAAACCCATTTCAAGTGGCAAGTCCATGGCTGCATGTGTCTGTGACAATTGAGTATGGAACCACTTCCTACAGAATAAGCTGTGATTTTCCAGATCATTGATGCATTATAGATTCATGGGGCCTCACGCAAATTTGAATTAGGAGCTCCATGTACAGTATTGACTTCAAACATTTTTGTTTGGTTGAATTTTGGGGTAATTTCCCCCTGTATCCTTGTTCATTTTTTAATGTGACCTATATGCTGTGCCTTTGCACCCTGCACCTGTACCACGTCAGGAATCTAAGGTCTCCAGATGTGGCCTAAGTTAAAATTTTGATATTCTTAGTATAATAATGAGTTTGTAAAAGATTTGTTTGGGGGGCCTAGACAATTGCCCTTTTTACCCATAAGATAATGCTCCACTGTTCCAGACCTGTAGTCTTTACTATGGTTTACTTGAGGAAGCAGTACTCTCCAACAGGACACTTATTCCTCGTCTTTCTACTTTGAGTGCCCTCTTAGGTCACTCAAATTAGATAACAGAGTAGCAGGCCCCAGCCAAAAATGGTCATGCCCCACTACTATAAAAACAGCCATACTGGATATTGAATGAGGCATGCCTAAATAATGTGAAAATTCAGTCTGATCAGAGAAAATACTGCAAACAAGTGCATCCCAGCACAATGTTGGAACATCATGTTGCCACTNTGAACAGTGACATTATATGTGACTTCCCATTTAAAGAAATGGTGAGGTTTCACAAAAATCATGGAAAGGAAGGAACACTAGTAGTAAGTTATTAATATACATTATTGGAAAAGCAATTAATACTTTTAAAATTTTTAATGTGTGTCATAAAATTAATAAATTTATGATATTCTATTGTTTAATTAATTATCTATTTCATGAACAATATACAGTCAAACTTGTCTGTAACAGAATCTGTTACAGATTAGTGTGTCACTAGTGTTACCACCTTTTCAAAATCGCTGACCCGGACGGCAGGTGAAGTTTGTTCGAACAGAAGTTCCTGACGCATGCGCAATGCCATTTTGCAATGTGAAGAATAACGTGCAGTGCATGCCGGTTCTAAATCAGTTACAGTTAGGGACTAGGGCAGGGGTGGCCAACAGTTTTTGCCCCCAGGTTGAATTGGAAAGAGAACTTTTTTCACGGGCTGAACCAGAGGCTGCCTAGGAAAGATTTTGAGGTGGTGCAAGATCTCATTGTGGTGTCACCCTGTAGTGACTAAATTGCACATAGAGATTACAGATACATTTTTCACATTATCGTGCTTTATCAACATTCTATGCTGTACTTAAGAGATTTGTAATGGAGGGTTAACTCTAGATGCACAGTGAGTTGTTGACTTTTTTTTTGTAGGCATCAGAATTTTTCATCAAGTTATTTGAACTTGAGTAGCTAATATTGAAAGATTAATTGCGGGCCACTAAATTCATTAGACGGGCTGTATGTTGGCCATGTCTGGACTAGGGAGACTTGGGTAGGAGTAACGTAAGTAACCTAAATTAAGAAAGAACAACTATGGATGGATTAGCTCTATTGGATATTGGAGATGTGTACGAATATGAATCGTACAAGCAAAAAGAAAAGGTCGGCAGATTGCACATGAATGTCATTGCACAGGAAATGTGCAATGACATTCATGATGACATTGCACATTTCCTGGACAAAATACAAAATTAATAGTTCACCCAGACAGTGAGTGGATTCCCGGACTGTCCAGGTGAAAACCGGATGGGTGGTAACACTGTCACAGACACATATTGTTGAAACATTATATTCACTTGAAATGGTTGTAAAACATGCTGATGATTGTGTTCCTGTGTTCCCATGAAGTTTGTTTTTTTCATTTATGAAAAAACTAACAGAATTCATTATAATTTTGTTTGATGAAGATAGGCAGCTCTAAGGTTTTACTTAATTTTTAATTAGTTACTCATTTTATCTTAGAGAACATTTTTACAGATGAATGAAAAAATTAAATTTAAAATAAAAATGTTTGTTATTAACTGAAAATTTATTCTGGCCAGTGATGATTGTTTCGTCAAGTACTAAGGTATTTGATTAATGTGGTTTCGATGTATGTGGTTACATCAAGAAATTTATTAATTGCATTAAACAAGGGTTATCTATAGTAGGTAACCTGTATATAGTGAAAATTTGTTTACTACGGAAGAGTTGTTTGGCCCCTTAGGGTTCTATTATAGACAGGTTTGATTATATTATTTTAAAAAGTAGTTTCATATTTGTGTGAAAATGATTTCATTTGTGTTGTTTGTCATTTTTGTTATTAAAATATGAAATATTATTATTATGAAAATCTTAAATCAATTTAAAGTTTAGATGAAGAAGTAAAAATTTCTATATTTTATTACTCAGATTGTAACTTTGTTATCAGTTTAACTTTTATTTTTGGCATTTCTTTTTGTTTATTATTATTATTATTATGTTGGGTTTTGTGAGTATTATTATTATTATTATTATGTTGCAAATGTCACAGTCAACTAATACAGTGCCAAGTGCTATTCCAGACTGAAGTCAAGATATAGTTACCTAAACAAGTGTAACATTAAGCTTCTGTGTTATTGATGTGTGTCCATATCTAGAAACTTCTTTACAATGTGACATGTTTTAAGTATTGTGGCTTTCTGTAGTGTCGTGTGTTTTTATTAAGGTTTAATGTTTCTAGACTTTTGTGTAGTGTATTTGGAATGAGAGTGACAATAGGCACAATAAATACTCTATCTATCTCATAGTTGCCTTTTATTATTATTATTAAATATATTCTATTGACTAAGTGGTAAAATTTGTTAAGATGTTTTGTTAATTTGATATTTTTTTCAGATTTTAACCAAAATTGTTGTTTAGAGGTACTACAGCTTATGATATTGCAATCATTAACTGAACACAATATCATAAATCAGGATTAAATTCACAGCAGAAGTTAGTTTCATAACTTTATCAGAAAAACAAATATTAGGAGCATGAATGATTGATTTTATCTAATTGTAAATGAATCTCAGTAATGAATTGTATGATCTACTGTATGTAACTTGGTCACATGTTTTTCAAATTACAGTAAGGCCCCTTAACGTGGGGGATGTGTTCCTAGACAACAAAGTGCTAAGCGAAACAGTGTTAAATGAGGTCATTTTAACATAGAGTAAATAGGGATAGGGAAACATGCAACCAAAAATCAACAAATTTTACTTTAAGTTATTTTTATATTAATTTGTATAATAATATATGTTAAATAAAACACAAACATATGCACACAGAAATGTAAAGTTCATTTTTTGTGATGACGGTCCTGACTTTTCTGAAATTCTTGTTCTTTTGCAATAAAGTCATGAAGTTTCATTTGTCGCTTTTTTCTTTCCTTAAGCAAATGTCAGTAGCAGAAGATCGCATCTAAAACTTCTTGTTTAGCTTTTGCACTCCTTTCTAAAACTGGATCATTTGCTACAATTTGATCAATGATTTCAGTTATCTTACCAAACTGTTACTAAGGAAATCTGTAGAGAAATTTTTTGGGTTCTTCATTTTCAGAAACTCTATTTTCCAATTACACACAAATTCCATGTTCTGCCAGTTCTTGAAGGACATCGTTGTAAGGCTATCACCAGAAACCTGCTGTAACTCCTCAATATCCTGCTCGTCTATATCTCCTAGTCCTGCTATATCGATTAGGTTGAGTTTGGTCAACCTAACGATACAGCGATAGGCTCTTCTCGTTGAGAATTCTTGGATACCTTCAGTCACAACTTCTTCCACACTTCGTTCATGAATTTATCAGTTAATTCTTGCCAAGTGAAGTTGATATTTCCTATGGCATCCATGATATTATATTTTTTTCCAAAATTGCACCAAACAAACAGATTTAAATAAAGTACACTTTTTTGCCACCTTTTGCTGATTGGTTTTGTTTGCAAATAATTGTATTATATACAAATTAATGAAATGCTGTGATAATTGAATCAGAGTAAATTTTGAGCTTTTTTCTAGGCTTAGAACAGACGCGTTATATCAAATCAGCGTTAAGCGGGATCTTACTGTACTTAGCCATAAAACTTCTATTCTTGTTGAATTATCATCACTTTTGTAATTTTAATTAGCCTTATATCTGTTTCTGTGGGAAAATATAAACATGGTAAAACAATTGTTCCAATCAAGTACACATTTGTGAGGGATGCAACAATGAGCGGGCCCACCAACATCGAAAGGGGAAATTTGGAGAGACACATGGTGGATACGACTCATCATGGTGTGTACCGGGGCAAGAGATTTATTGGAGGGTGTGGGAGTTATGGACGGAAGTAGAGGAGGAGAGAAGGAAAACGACGAAGGAGTGCAGTTGAACTGTTCTTCGCTGGTGCTTGACATCGTTGTTCACCATTAACTGTGTATCCATCTCAGAACGAATAATAAAGTGTCCTGTTCGTAGTCTCATCCTTTCGTGTTATTGTGCATAGTCATGACAATATTTGCTTTAAAGAATTTATCATACAGAAAAATCCAAGCATTTTATTAAAATAGACTGTATTAACTAAAGGAGTGAAGCATTTTGGATATTGTTGCCCCTCATCAATCCTTTCCTTAACAAATATCTGAAAAGAATTGAATGAAAATGTTGAATTTTTAAGTATAATTTCATATTATAATTTTATCTTACCAGATGTTTAAGGAAAGGATCGATGAGGGGCGACAATGCCTAAAATGCATATCCATTCCTTTAGTTAATAAAGTCTATTTTAATCAATTGTCTGGATGTTCATATATGATAAGTTCTTTAAAGCAATATTTTGCTTGATTTGAATAATTTTAAACAGAAACTAAGCTCTTAAAGTACCAATGGATTAAAACAATATTTTTAAAAATGTTTTCTAGTATTTTGAAATATTCTAGGAGTATTAAATGTATTGTTTTTATATATAGGTAACAAGGGTAGAAGAACCTTCTAAGTATGGTGTAGTAGTTTATGATGAAACAGGAAAAATTGAGATGTTTGTTGAAAAACCTCCAGAATTTGTTTCTAATAAAATAAATGCTGGAATGTACATTTTAAGCACATCAGTTTTAAAACGAATACAGGTATGTAATTTTTAATTTCATATTATAAATGTAAGATGTATAATAATTACAACAGATATCAAATAAATAAAATAATTAAATTTATAAATTTATTTATTTTATAATTATTATATTTAATTAATTAATTAATTAATAAGAGATGGTGGCCTGGTGGTGAGTCTCCTGCCAAATTTATTAGTAATTATTTAGTCTTAATAACTTGAATATATAGTCAAAAATAATCATAAAATCCTCTATAAAAGTTTTTCAAAATTTGCTTTGCTTCAAGATCCAGCCTGCCAAAAAGTGCTTTTTAAATTTCCTGCTAGAGTACCAATATTACGGTTGTCAACTTTATAAAGTAACTAGCTGACCCTGCCATGCGTTGTTGTGGCTCAAAATGTATCTATTATATGACACTTCCCCCATGGGGGGGATTTTTCGAAAAATCCCTTCTTAGTGTATATTCTGTTGACGTACCCTATTAAAATGCAATCAAAAACGCAAAAAACTGCATCTAAAATAGTATAAGAAAACACCTTCA